ACCGGGGATTGAACTCAGACCCTTGCGCTTGCCAGGGAAGAGCTTATTCCACTGAGCCATCTCCCCAGCCAACATAAGCTTTTTTTATACTCACATGGAAAACAACTACATAGTGAAAACCAATTGCCTAAGGATTCTGAAGCAAGCAGATTGTGGAGAGTAGTCAAAACAACCTCTGCAAGGATTGGAGACAGTCTCCACTTTGCCCTATGATGACCATCAGTCACAAAGCAGCACACTTAAGGCTAAGATAGGAGCGTCAGTTGAGCTCAAGAGTTTGAGGCTGGTGTGGGTAACACAGCAAGATCCCCTCTCTATAAAAACAAATGGCTCCAGAAGAAAATCTCATATATTTCTGGCAAAAAAAAAAAAAAAGATAGGACCACTGTACAGGCAATGCAGCTGCCACCAGAATAAGCAGAAAGAGCCAGTGGGACAGCTCAGTAGACTAAGCACCTGCTTTGGCAAGCACAGGGACCAGAGACCAGGGTTCGATCCCGGTCCCACATGCCTCTCTGGCCCTGAACCCATGGTACACTGAGCCACAACTGAGTCTGGGCATGGTAGCACATGCCTGTAATCCCTGCACTGGGCAGGTTGAAAACAGGAGGATCACTATGAGTCTGAGCTGCATAGTAGACCCTACACCAAATACATAAAAATGAAAAAGAAAGGAAAAAAAAAGAATGAATAGAAAATCCCAGCGCAGAGAAGGGGAACTCTTTCTGTGAATGAACAATATATATCTCAGGTCATTCTCTTGGATAATGTTGCATTCAGATTCAAAGGAGCACAGCAAAGGCTCAAAGAATTAAACTGAGACTCAGAAGTACTAAAACATAAAATAGTTCAGAGGAATATTATAGAGCCCAGAGTCTATATAATTTAACATTCACAAAATTCAGTACACAAAACCATATTACTCAATACACAAAGAACTAGAAGGATATTACCCATTCTCAAAGGAAAAGATATTTAATAAAGGCCAACCCCCAAATGATGTAAATGTTGAGACGTTCATGTATTAGTCACTAGAACAGTGTCCAGAAGGGGCCAGGGAGATAGCTTAGGAGAATATGCGCTTGCCTTGCAAGTACAAGGGCCTGAGTTCAATCCCCAGTTCCATCAAAATAAATAAAATAAATCTTTCCCCTGTCTTGGTAAATACATGGCTTGCTGCCTGCTGTACCGTGGTGATGTGGTCCCCAAAAATGTCAGTGCTGCCATTGCTACCATCAAGACTAAGCACAGCATCCAGTTTGTGGACTGGTGTCCCACTGGCTTCAAGGTGGGCATTAATTACCAGCCTCCCACTATGATGCCTGGTGGAGACCTGGCTAAAGTACAGTGGGGGGGCCGGGGAGATGGCTCAGTAGAATAAGCACTTAACTGGCAAGTGCAAGGGCCTGAGTACAATCCCTGGTTCTGCCAAATCAATCAATCAATCAATCAATCAATCAATCAAACAAACAAACATAAAGTACAATGGGCTGTGTGCATGCTGAGCAACACCACAGCTATCATTAAGGCCTGGGCTCGCCTGGACCACAAGTTTGATCTGATGTATGCCAAGCATGCCTTTGTTCACTGGTATGTGGGTGAAGGGATGGAGGAAGGGGAGTTTTCTGAGGCCCAGGAGGACACTGCTGCCTTCGAGAAGGATTACGAGGAGGTTGGTGTGGATTCTGTAGAAGGAAAGGGTGAGGAGAAGGGAGAGGAATATTAGTTATGTATTCCCTTCAGCCCTGCAACATGTCATGCTCTCAGAATTTGAGCTTCAATGTAGCTAACAATCACTAAGCGTTTCTGGTGGCATCATCTTTACTTGATCATGGCTGATCTTCTGTGATCATGTTTTTTCCATGTGTACCTCTGGTTTTTCCATTATGTCTCAGAGTAAATGCTTTAAGAAAAAAAAAAAAAGAATAGTGTCCAGAGTAAGAGTGATACAATACGGTCAACTGTTTTTCAACTAATGCCAAGGTATTTCAGTGGAGAAGTATACAAAGGATGAAAAGAACACAATGAATATTTAAATTTTTAAAATTTATTACAGTAAAAGATGTACTTCCATTAATCTTCAAAAATACCCGCCTTGCTTTTCTTTAAACACACTTATTTCACCATTCTTGCCACTTTCTGAAGCAGTTCTCCAAGTCTGTGTCTTTACAAAACTATGCTGCTGCAAAGTCTTACGCAATGGGAAAAGGCAGGCTCATGAAAATATCACAGTGCATCTTCATCCACCTTATTCACCAGATCTGGCACTGTGAGACCTCTTTCTGGCTCTTCTCCAAAGTCACAATGACCATGAAAGGTCATTTCTAGTATCAACTAGCCATGACAACTCAACTAAAGACACATGAAACATGACTTCTAGAACAATCAGAAAGTGGCAAGAATATTAAGTGTCTTCAAAGTGAGGAGGAATATTGAGGGAGATTTACTATAATAAACTTTTTAAAAATTTAAACATTCACTGCATGATTTGCTCACACTTGTATTATTATTTTATTTTTATTTTTTTGGTACTGGGGATCAAACCCAAGACCCTGTGCTTGCCAGGCAGGTATTTATGCTGTTGAGCTATCTCCTCAATACTTGTATTCTTTTCAAAACAAGTTGCTGAAACAAATAGCTTATCTATTTATAAATAAAAGAACTTTGGTGATGTTAGCATCTTCCCTCTACGAAAAAAGACCAAGACAAAGGAAAAAAAGGAAAGAAAATAGCTATTTCAACAGAGTATTTAAGACAGAGTACTGGGTTGCAGAGGGTATAGTATATTGGCAGACACTGCACAGGACAGAGTTACATAATGCCCTTATAAAGAAGGAAACTCACAGCCAGGGATGGGAGCCTATGCCTATGATCATACACTAGGAGGATAAAGAGGGGGATCACCATGAATTTGAGGCCAGCCCAGACTATACACAGCAAGACTGTCTCAAAAAGCAAAGAAGAAGGGCCGAGAATATTGCTCAGTGTGTAGTGCCTGCCTGGCAAGTGCAAGGTCCTGAGTTTGATTCCCAGTATCCTTTCCCCACAAAAAAAAGAAAGAAAGAAAGAAAGAAAGAAAGAAAGAAAGAAAGAAAGAAAGAAAGAAAGAAAGAAAGAAAGAAAAAGAGGGCTGGTGAGATGGCTCAGTGGTCTAAAGCACCTACTTAGAACAAGCTAAGCTAAGCAAAGCCCAGGGACGGCGGTTCAATCCCCCAGCACCACATGCCAGCCAGCCCCGCCCCCTGGTGGGCTGAGCTGGCCACACACACACAAAAAAAAAAAAAATAAATAAATAAATATTAAAATAAATAAATAAATAAAATTAAAAAAAAAAAAGAAAGAAAAAGAAAAAAGCAAGCAAAAGAGGAGGTAGGGCTAAGCACACAGCATTTACAGTACTATCTCTTGAGG